TAATTAGCAATAGACTTTGTAAAAATTTTTAAGTCCTCTCAATTATAATTTGGACCTTGTATGTTGGTAAAAATATTGTCACCCAAGTTACATAAAGCTTTTTTATACGAGTCATTGTTATAAAAAATTTCCTCATTTTGAAAATTGTTTTTAACTAAAGTATTTATATTAGATCTTGATACGGGATAATTATTAATATTTAAATAATTTGTTATAAATTCAGTCATACTTTCAATATACCCTGAATGATTTTCTCTATAATAATTATTTGTATATTTCATAATATTATCATTTGGATTTAAATTTGGCCTATTATTTAAATAATTATACATTTCATCAGGATGCTTTAAAGCTAATCTTCTTTTTAATAAAGAAAATTGATTTCTCATAGTAATTCTATCCTCCATACTAAATAAAGAAGAACTTGTAATAGAATATTTAATAAAATTTTTATTTTGAAATTTCAAATAAAAATTTTTAAAATAAATAAAATAATTAATTATTTTATTTTTAATTTTATTTGTAATAAAAAATAAATTAGTAATTAGTAATAATAATTCAGAATTATTATAAGATATTGTTAATAATATAGAAGATATATCATATTCAACAATATCAGATAATAAATTAGGATATATAGCAGTAATTATAATAGAAATTAATATAGATAATATTAAAAAGAAATATCTTTCAGATAAAAAATCTGAAACAGAATTTAAATATAAAGAATAAGAACCATTAAATAATTTATCAAAAAATCAAATAGAATAAATAGCAACAAAAATAATACTTAAAGAACTTAACATACCCATAAATAAATTAGTTTCAAATATACCAATAAAAGATAAAAATTCACCAATAAAATTATTAGTAAGAGGAGTAGCCATATTGGCTAAAATTAAATAAAATAATATTATAGCAAATATAGGCATTAAACTTATTAAACCTTTATAATAATTTAAAATTCTAGTATGAAATCTATCATATAAAATAGCAGCACAAATAAATAAACCTGGAGAAGTAAAACCATGAGCTATAGATAAAAATATAGATCCAGATAAACCTTGATATAAAAAAGAAAATAAACTCATTATTGCTATAGCCATGTGCTAATATATAAATTTATTAGTAATTTTATTATCTCTATTTTTTATATTATAGACGATTTATAAATTTATTTAATAATTAATATATATGGACTATCTCTTTATTAAATAATAAAACATAACACGTTTAAAATTCTTTTATAATTTTTATTTTAGTTAAAATATAAAATAACTTTTATAATATAAAATTAGGTATAAATTTATTATAATTTTTATGATTAATAAATGTGACAAGAAAGATTATTATAATTATAAATTTTTTTATCTTTTTTAATTTTATTTTGTTAAACTTTATAAATACTAATTTATATAATATTTTCAAATTTATTTATTATAAAATAAGAAATATTTAAATAATTATCTATTAAATTATATAAATTATATTCTTTATATATAATAAAACCAATATAATTTATTTATTATTTAACATATCTAATACAAATTAATAATTTTTTCTTTTAAGTTATATAATTATTAATTTTATTATAAGATATAAAGCCATTACTATAAAAAAATAATTTATTATAATTTATTCTTCTTAATTTATAATTCTATACGTTTTTAAATTATAATATTCTTTTTAATTTATAATTCTATACGTTTTTAAATTATAATATTCTTCTAAATTTATAACTCTATACGTTTTAAATTTATAATATTCTTCTAAATTTATAACTTTATACATTAAAAAATTATAATATTCTTCTAAATTTATAACTTTATACATTTAAAAATTATAATATTATATTTATAACAAAATATTTTTAATTATTATTTGACGTTTTAATATTTCTATTTATTAAATAAATAAATTTAATAAAACTTTCATTAAATCTTAAATAATATATTATAACTTTTTTTTTTATTAATTATTTTTAGAACATTATAAAATTATATTTAAATAACTTTTTTTTTATTTATTTCTAAATAAGAATTACTTAAATAACTTTTTTTTTTATTTATTTCTAAATAAGAATTACTTAAATAACTTCTTTTTTATTTATTTCTAAATAAGAATTATTTAAATAACCATTAATTTAACTAAATAAACTATTTTTATAAAATAAAGAATATAAAGGTACATATTTTTATTATTTAATAATACACGTATAGTCTCTGAGATTCTTACTAACATATTATTAAATGCTTTAATTATCTGCGGATTACTTAACTCAGACACGATATGGTATCTGTTATTATTTAAAATTTTTACTAATCTAATTTTATATGAATATATTAAATTATTCTTAATATATATCAATATAGAGAATAAATTTAATATTATAAATTATAAAAATGCATATTTTAACTATATAAAATAAAAAAGATCATATTTTATAAATAATATATAAAAATTAAATATAATATTTAAATTAGTATTTAAATAATAATAAATATAAATACTGTTTAAGATTAATCTTAAACCAATAAGTATATTATAAAATATTTTAAGTTTTCTGCATATAGTGTATTACGTAATATAATTATTATTTAATTATATTAAGAGCCATTTTGACCAATAGAACTATAAGCAATAATTTTTTTAAAATCTATTTGTCTTAAAGTTGTAAAAGAAGAATAAATTATACCTAAAACTGATAATGGTAATATTAAAGGTAAAAAATAATAAGAACCTTCTGGAAATAAATTTAAAGAATATCTTATAAATCCATAAGTGGCTAATTTTAACATAATCTTTTATTTAATTTTGATCTATTACTAAAAAGTTATGAATAATATTATTAGTGATATTTTTCCCAAATAATTTTATTTATTCTTTTTAAAAATTGTTTATAAAATAGATACTACGTATGTTTTCATACGATTAGGACTATATATTAATAATTAAAACAGTTTGATTACATTTTATAAAAATTTAATAAATGATTTCTATAAAAACAAGTTCTTCTATTATTCATATTTTATTTTCATAATAATTTTTATATCCTTTTTCTTTTGTTTATAAAATTATTCTTAACCTTTATAATATAAATATTTAATACTAGATAGCTAGCTATCAGATAATTTTTTAATAATTCTTAAAATTAGTATTTTTCAATAAGGATTTTTAGAAGTAATATAAATTTATTTAATTTTACATAATAATAATTTACTTATTTCAAACATTATATCAAAATAAGAAATTATTTTAATATTAATTTTTTTGTTTTATACTTATTCTAAACTACAAAGAGTTTTTATAAATTAATATTTTTTTATTTATAGATATTCTTATTGAAAAATAATCATAAGTTTCAATTAAACCTATGGATAAATCACGGATTATTTAAATTTAAAAGTTTTTAAAAAAAAAAATAATATAAATATATTTTATATAAAGCCATTCAATAAGTTTATAAAATAAATTTAATTTAGATAATCTGAACTAACCATTAATAAAATTTACTATAAAACTTTTCTCGTCACCCATATTATGGTGACGGCTATTTTTACCTTTAATATATAAAATATTAATTTATAATATACCCAGTGAAAGATAATTTTTACTAGAGAAAGTAATAATATTAGGTGTATTAATATACCTTTTTAGGTAAATAAATTATGTTATATTAACCGACTAAATAAGAACTTAAATAAAAATGAGTAAAATAAGTTTATAAAAATTTATTAGTAAAAGTAGGAAAATATTATAAAAAAATATATATGATAAACATAAAATGACTTGTATAATAAATTTAATGGATATATTTATAAAATATTTCAGAACTGTTTATTATTTTTAGCGTGTAGTCTCTGAGGATACTATATAATTTATTAAAAATATTTTAACTTTCGACAAATATCGAATATCAAATATAATATAGTTTCCTGCTGATTGTGCTAAATATAGATATTATATATTTGGCAGTTTCCAGCATATAGCTAAATTTTAAGCTAGCATTAGTTTACCAGCTAATATTATAGAACCACTTAATGGTGCTTCAGTATGTGCTAAAGGTAATCATTGATGAAAAGGTAATAAAGGTGTTTTAATAGAAAAAGAAATAAAAAATGCTAATCATAAAATAAATTGTCTTGAAGGTGAAAAATAAGATGAAGAAATAAAAATATAATCATAACTACCTGAAAAAGAATATAAAGTTAATATAGCTAATAACATTAATAATGATCCAGCTAATGTCATTAAAAAAAATTGATAAGTTGCATATACTCTAGTTAATTCTTCTTTTGCTTTACCTTTTTTATAACCTTGTTTATCACTACCAAATAAACCAATTAATAAAAACATAGGTATAAGTGAAGCTTCAAAAAATATATAAAATATTAACATATCTAATATAACAAATACACCTATTAATATAGTTTCTAATAATAATAATGAATTTATAAAATATTTTATATTTAATTCTATACTTCAACTAGCTAATATAGATATAACTATAATAAATGTTGTTAATAATATAAATAATAATGATATTCCATCTATACCTACTGCAATTATATCTGTAAAATTCATTAAAAATTGTGGTTGAATACAACTATAATTAAATCTATTTCATAATATTATAGATATTATGAAATTTATCATAGATATAGCTAATCCTATTTGTTTTATTTTTTTATTTTCAGTAGTTTTTAAACTAATTGTGAAACCTATTATAGGTATTAATAATAATAATATAATCATTTTTTTAATATTTAATTTTTTCTTTTACTTTTATCATAATTTCTTACTTTTTTTTTTAATCTTCTTTATTATATTTTCACTCGTTGAAGGATTTGAACCCACAGTATACGATTTAGAAGATCGATGCTTTATCCAATTAAGCTAAACGAGTTTATTTTATAATTTTAAGGCGAATAATGGGAATTGAACCCATATTAACAATGCCACAAATTGTAGTTCTACCATTAAACTATATTCGCCTTATAAACACCCTATAGGAATTGAACCTATATTAATAATTTCGAAGATTATTACTTTACCTATTAAGTTAAGAGTGTATAAAAATTTATACAGAGAAAAAAGGATTTGAACCTTTAAAACTAATTTTGGAGATCAGTATTTTACCAATTAAATTATTTCTCCATTCTTTATTTTTATTTGTTTTTTTTCTTTATAAAAAAGAGAATTATATATCATTAATTATTTGTAAAATTTAATATACCTTTACTTAATTCATAAATAAATCCTATAGTTAATACAAGTATAAATATTGTACCAATTCAAAAACCAAATAAAGAAATATTATATAAAACAGAAGCAAAAGGAAATAAAAATATTATTTCTATATCAAATATTAAAAATAATATTGCTATTAAATAAAATTGTATATTAAATTTTTCTCTAGCTGTACCTATAGTATCCATACCACATTCATAAGGTGATAATTTAGAAAAATCAGGTTTATTAACAGGTATTATAAGACTAACTACTAATAAAGTTATTAATATAATTGGTGTTAATATAATAAATAGTAATAATGTATTCATTTTTATTTATTTTTTTTTTATTTCTTTTTTTTATTTGCCATAATTTTTTTTTTTTTTATTCGGATAGGCAAGAATCGAACTTACAATCTTCTAATCCCAAATTAGAGGCGTTACCTATTACGCTACTATCCGTTATCGGGCAGAATGGGATTTGAACCCATGGAAATTATTCAAAACTTCTCTCCGTTTCAAGCGAAGCACCTTAAACCAACTCAGTCATCTACCCTTATATGAGAATTATAATTTAAATTTTTATTAATTTAAAAAGTAAAGTAAAATATAGAAAATTAATTTATTTTTATAAAATAAATTTAGGAAGTAAAGCAGTTTCTGTAGAAATTATTATATTTATTGTACCTCTTAATCGATGATAAGCAACTAATATAGATAAAGCAATTGCAGATTCAGCTGCTGCTATAGATATTATATATAAACCAAATATTTGAGCTAACATATCATCATGAAGAATAGAAAAATAAAGAATTAAAATAGTTACAGCTAATAATATTATCTCTATAGATATTAAAACTAAAAGATAATGTTTTCTATTTAAAATTATACCATAAATACCTATTAAAAATAATAATAAAGCTAATTTCATTTATAATTTTTTTTTTATTTTATAGGAAAATATAATCCTTTTAGTTTTTTTCGGAAAAAGGGGGAATCGAACCCCCAAGCATTTTATAAATGCGTAGTTTAGCAAACTATTGCCATACCATTAGGCGATTTTTCCTTTATAAAAATATATATAAGCCGTAGCCCTGAATTGAACAGAGATCCGATCATTAACAGTGATTTGCTTTACCATTAAGCTACTACAGCTATTTTTATTGCCTTAAGGATGACTCGAACATCCTACCCAGAATTTTCAGTTCCGTACTTTAACCTGTTAAGCTATCAAGGCATTTATTGAGAATATTGGGATTTGAACCCAAACTATACAAATTAAAAGTTTGATACTCTACCAATTAAGTTATATTCCCTATAATTTATTTTTGTTTATCAAAATATATTAATTTTTATATTTTGATAAGATTAGAGAATGAATTGAACATTCATAATTAGGTTTGCAGCCCAATACTTTACCATTAAGATATCTAATCTTTTTTTTTTTTTTGAAATCGAATGGAATTGAACCATTATTTCTTACTTATCAAGTAAATACTTTAACCTTTAAGTTACGATTCCTTTATTATTGATCTCAGTCCGATTCGAACGAACATAATGGCAGTGAAGGTGCCAGATCCTACCTTTAGATGATGAGATCTTATTTTTACGAATAATTAAACAATTTTTATTTTAAAGCTAACAAACCATATGTGTAAAACAAACACTTATTCATAAAAAAATAAAAATTAGGGAGAGTAAGATTCGAACTCACATCTTTCCTGTTATGAGCAGTAGGCTTTACCATTAAGCTATCTCCCCCTTTTGAGAAAACTGGGATTTGAACCCAGAATGGTCGAAACCATCGCCTTTACAGGGCGATTGCAATACCAAAATGCTTTCTTCTCTTAATTACCTACTGAGGGACTTGAACCCTCACACACAAAGTGCTAACAATTTTAAGTCGTTTGAGTCTACCAATTTCTCCAAGTAGGTATTATATTTTTTTAGCCAGATACGGAATTTGAATCCATAGTAGGTAATTTACAAAATTACTGCTTTACCAATTAAGCTAATCTGGCTATTATTTTATTATTAAAAAAAAATATATAATATTATATATTAATGTGTTGAAATTTTTATAAATAAAATTAATAAAAATAAAAAGGAAGACTCCAGACGGTGGTTACCCACTACAATTTTATAAAAAGAAAAATAATTAATTATAAGTATAAATATTTAATATAATAAATTATATAAAAATAATAACTAAAAGAAGGATAAATAATAAAAATAGATTACTTATTATAATAAAATAATATAAAAACCAATTATTATATATAATAATATAAAAACCAATTATATAATAATCGAAAATATAATAGAAATAATTTTATAAATTATATTTATTTTATTGTATTTTAGATATAAAAAAATATATATATTTTTTTATTATAAATTATATTTTAATTCTAAAAGTAGTGTATAATAAGTTATATAAAAATATTATTTTTATTATAAATTCCTTTTATAATAAAAATTAGAAAAAATTAATAAACTTTATTATATAAATTAGAAAAAATAAATAAACTTTATTATATAAATGTATTTATAGAATAAAATTAAAATTTGATAATATAATTTTAATTTTAAATAAAAATTAGTTAAATTGAATACCCGTACCATAATTAGTAAATAATTTTATTAAAAATATTTTTAATAAAATCATAGATATAAGTTTTATAATATATAACTGTTTATAAAACTAATATTAATGAATAAATTATTAACTTTACTTTATAAATAATTTTTAATAATTTGTTTATTTAAAAAATTTTTTATCTTACATAAATAACAAAGTTATATTTTATATTAAGATTTAATATTAATTAGTTAATTCTCTAGAATTAGTAATATAATTTTATAAAATTATAATTAACATTAATTAAACAAGGATCTTATTTATTTTATAAAATTACATTTAGTGTTAATTAATCTTCATATACCTGATTATTTTAAAATAATTTTTAAAGTCTAATAGGTCTTTAATTATAAGTTTACTTTTAAATTATTTATATTTTATAGTATATTTTTAAATATAATTGTATTATAATTTATAATAAATAAAAATTAAATATAAAAAAAAGGGAGTTTAGCTTAATTGGTAGAGCTTCTAGCTTACAACTAGATGGAAGTAGTTCGAATCTACTAATTCCTATAATTAAAATAATAAATACTATATAATATTATATTTAGATTATTATAATATTTTTTAATAAAATAAACAAATTATAATTGTTTATATAAATAATAATTAACTATAAATTTTAGTTACCTATTCAAAGTATAATTATAACTTATTAAATAATAAAATACCTATAAAAGATAAAATTTATAATAAATAAAGTAAACAATTATAAAAAAGGAATAAAACTAAATAAAAAAACAAATTTTATAAGATTATAGTCTTTTATATAAAATTAAATATATTAAGAAAAATTTAGGAATAAAATTAGGATTAAAAAATTTTTAAGTTATAATAATATTTTAGACATATTATACTTAATACTATTTTTATATAACTTTAAATTAGAAATAATTAAAAATAATAAAATAAGATATTAAAAGTAAATAATTATAAAAGAACTTTAAAAATTATTTTCTAAAAATTATTAAAAATTATAAATAATTTTTTTAATGGTAATATAATAAGATTTAGTCTTTTATTATAAGATAAATTAACTATTATTATAAACCAAAATAAAAAGAATAAATTTATTATTGAAGGATGGTAACTTATCGTATTAAACTTTAAAAAGTAAATAATACATAAAAACAGTTATTTCTTTTAAAATTAACTATATTTTAATATTAAAAAACAAAAATATTATTTATAAAGAAGAGTAAAAACTAATTAAAGTAGTATTAAAAATAAGGGTAATACTTAAAATTAAATAAAAAATAAATTATTTGTTTAACTAAATTTCTAATATAAAGAAGAATAGAGAATAATAAAAGTACTCTAAAATAAACATAAGGATAAAAAAAAAAAAGAAAGTTTATATGGTTGGTTTGCTTTTATTTTCAATATAATAAAAATTTATTTATTATATACCTAATCTTATTATAACCTAAATATAAAAAAGTATAAGAAGGTTTATATTTTTTATAATTCATTGTATTGATAAAATTCCATACTTATCTAAAATTTTATAGTTTTTTTTTTATTACCTAGAGTTAAATAAAAATTCTTAATTATATAAATTATATTATATTCATTAAATCTAGAAATAAAGGTATAAATTTTAGAGGTAGATTTTATTCAATTTATTATATATTCTCCACTTTAATATGTATAATAACGATTAAATAAATTTATATAAGGATACTCCATTAAAAATAAAATATATTTTTATTAATTTATGAATCGAATAGATTAAAATTATTTATTTATTAATAACAAGAGTAAAGTTTTAGACTATATAATTTTATAAAAAATATTATGATATTTAACTAGGGATTTAACACAAATAAAATAAGAGTAAATCGGATAAAATAAATTTAATTGGATTATAAAATTGGTAATATAAAAAAATAATTTTTATTAGGATATTTTAATAATATCCATTAAATAATTACTATAATTATTTAGTATATAAAGCCATATAAAAATATAATTTTATATAAGGTCCATTAATTAACAATATTAGAATTCATAATATTAGCTATATGTATATTATTATACCCCCAATATTATAATATTGGCATATAAATATAGATAGCAACTGGTATATCTTAATCATTAAATATTATTAAAAGTTAAAAATATTTATTTGGATTTGATAATAATATTTTATTTATATTAAAATTCTATTCTAAATTAAAGGAAAATATTAATTAATCAATAGTATTATAATATTAATTAAAGTATAAATTTATAGTTAATTATGAACCAACTATAATATTGTTTAATAAATTATTGAGTTCTATATTTAGATTTTATCATAATAAATATAATATTAGCATATATAAATCTTTATAATTAATATATTAATTATATTATAGGGTTATACTTAAATTTAAACAATATTTTTTAATATCAACCATTTATTTTTAAATAAACTAATTCCATCCATTATTATATAGATTTATCCTTTTAGAATTTATATTTAAATAATAGGTAATTTGATTTATAAAGGTTAATAATTATTTAAACTTAAAATAACTAAAATTTATTCAGTTTTAGATAATTACCATAAAAAAAAATATATTTATATCACAAAAATATTAATTAATATTTTGGTAATATAATTAGTCTTTTATTAAATAATAACACCTTTAACCTATTTAGTTTACTTAATTAATTTTTTTATAAATTTGTCTATTCATATATTAAAATATTATCCTTATTTTATAATATTACTATTTAACCAAATTATAAATTTCTTTATTAGCTTCTATAATTATAAATCTTCCATAATTTAGTTAATTTAAATAGAATTTTTAAAATTTTTGTTATATTTCCCTAAAAGCTTAGCCCTATTTTTTTATTTATAAATTATCTTATTATGTTTAATATATAAATAACCTTAAATAATCATTAAATTTATGGATAGATTAAAATTATAAATAAAGGGTTTATATATGCCTATATTTGTTATATATTTTATTTATAAAATAAAAGTAGTATTTCTATTTAATTATTATTTGAAATATTACTATAGATATTAAATAAATAATAAATTAACTAATCCTATACAACAAATATTTTATTATCATAATTTTTATATTTTAAGTTTTTCTAAAATGAAATTTACTTTATTATTTTAACTAATTTATATATAAATTTTAATAAATTTATATATTGATATAGGTATAAATTATCTTTATTTTGATTTATTATTCTATATTATTACTGAGTTTCATTATTCTATATTTAACGAACTATTTATAAAATTATCAAGTAATGTTTTAGGTAGCTTATTCAATAATTAAGAAATATCAATAAATAGAGTATTGATAAATTATTTTATTTACTATTAAGAGTTTAGTTTAATTATAAATAAAATAAAATATAAATTATGTTATATTTATATATATATAATTTTTTTAATCATTTCTAATTATTTTTTTAATTTAGGATTTATTTTTTACTTATTTTTTTATGTTATTTATTTACTATTCTTTCTATTATAAAAGAATTTTATCCTTTTATATACTTTCTTATATCTAATTACCTTTTTTTAGTATTACTTATTCTAATACGATTTTTCTTATAAAATAAAATACCAATTATTATATATAATAATTGGAACAATCAATAATAAACTTTATTTTATTTAATAACTCTAATAAATATTTAATAATTTATTTATTGTTTAAAAATTTTATATACATAAAATTTTATAATAAATTATTAAAATTCTACTTAAATTAATCCTTACTCCATTATATAAGATATATAATAATTAAACAAAAAATAATAAAGTTTAATTAAATATATAATTTAAATAAATTATTTTTAAAAATAGTACTTTAATAATTTCTAATTCTTTCTTAATAAACAAATTGTACTTTTTTATTTTATAATAAGATAATTAATTCTTAAATTAATACCTTTCTTTAATCTTGTATAGTAAATAAACTTTCTTATTAATTGTTTTTTTTTATGTATTATTTTTTTTACGTTATCAATAAGTTACAATTTTTATTTAATAAATGAATTGTTTTAATTTTGTTTAATAAATATAAATAAATTTGTTTAAATTAGAATAGGCTGTATTTTATTAAATAACCATTAAAATATTTAAATAATTTTATAATTATTTAAAGGGTACTTTTATAAGTGTTAATTATTCTTTTATGAATAAAAGTAAGTTAGACAAATAATATTCAAACTATTTTTGTTATTTATTTTTAAGTATAATTTATACCTAAAAAGAATTATTTATTTATAATATATTTATATAAGAAAATATATGATACCTTTATTATATTATTAAAATAATTTTATACTATAGTAAATTAGAACATTAGATACTGTTTGTTTTAGTATTATATAGAATATTAACTATTTATCCAT